TATATTTTTAACTCTTCATCAATTTGAGATATTCTAATACTTTTATACCTTATTATAATCACTAGTCTCAGACTGCTTATGATGTTAATTAAAAGAAAGCTCTACAATAATATAAAGCTAATTAAACCCTTTAGGGGAAAACAAAAAGAGGTTCACTAAACAAATGGCAATTTCCATTATAACCAGTATTTTTAATGGGAAAAACAAATAACTTCTACTATAAAATTATAGGTTTTTTGATCTTTTTAGTGATTTTCCATTTCATTTTCCCCATTCATACAGCAAAATAAAAAAATAAATTGAAATTTTTATTCCGTGTTGCATATTATATATAGAAATAAGAATCCATATTCCTATTCTCATTCTATTATTTGTTTCGTTCTTATTTTATTCTATTTCACCTACCAAATATAGTTTATATCATTTGAAACACTCATATTCAACATAAAAATTAATAGTTTTTGGTTTAAATATTTTTTTTGTATCAATAATCATATGGTGGTGGTGGAGTGGTGGTTGAGGTGGTGGCGGTGGCGGGGACGGTGGTAGTGAAGTGGTGGTGATGGTAATGGTAATAGAGTAGTGGTTTTGATGGTGATATTGTGCTAATTACATTATATAGTTACAAACAAACATAAAAATAAAATGTTAATTACATTTCATTACAATATATTTTTTTCATTGCATTACATATTTAATTTCATTACATTATATCTAACCAAACATAGCTTTAAAGTTTATTAAAATGAAAAAAAAACCAAACTGATTTAATTCTGTTGGATATGTTAATATACCATTTGATTTCGAATTTGGATACTATAAAAACATATTCAGATAAATTAAAATTCAACTAATTTGGTTTGGTTCGATTTGGTTAACCAAATGCTGACAGCTGGCAGTAGTACCCATATAAAGCTTCCTTTGTTTCCTATATATATATAGAGGAGAAGAAGGAAATTTACTCAAGCAGCCAAAACAATGAACTTTCTCAAAACCAACATGAGTACTTGCTTACTCATAATACTGGCTTCTCTATTACCAATTCTTTCTATACCCTCTGAAAACTCAGTCGACAAAATAAGATTCACAGCAAGAATTGACATGCACATTGTCAACCAGTTGAGCCATGATAAAAACTTATTTGTACATTGCAAGTCCAGAGATGATGATCTTGGCAACCATAATGTCAATGCAGGAAAAGAATATTTTTGGTCGTTTAATGTAAATTTCTTTTGGACAACACGGTTTGATTGCTATTTGGGTCAAGGCAGATCTCATGCTTCTGTCGTTGCATTTGATGGTGAAGAAAAGGATCTTGTGATTAAATGTAATGATATAAGTAGGACTTGGGGTTCTAAACATCTTGCTTGTTATTGGTTTGCTAGAGATAATGGACTTTATTTAAGGGATGCATTTGTGCAAGGTTGGGAGGGATGAAGCTTAAAATAAGAAAAATTGCAGAAATGAATGATGTTTGCATTTTCCTATAGTAATTATGCTTTAGATCATTGCAACATGTGTAATGGTCAAATAATGTAGTAAAAAAAGAATTTACAATAAAGTATTCCCTTCTTTTCTTTGTTTTTCTTTTTTGTTTATATCGTCTTTCTTAATTTATAAAGGGATACAATATTTTCTTTTGGAATCACTTACTTAGACTCGGTCTATGGACTTACTTGAAATATATTATTTTAGAGAAATGATGATATTTCTTACAATTCACTAAAAAAAAGAGTAAAATTGAAATAAAATTTTTAAAAATCTCTATTGTAATTGGTTTGATATGGATGTATCCATAAACCAGGTTTAAGCAATATTTCACTTGGACAATACTTTGTTGGTGCTATTTGGCCCTAGACATATATACTTCCTATTATTGTCGATGTATTTTTGATTAAATGAAGGAAAAGTTAAATAATGTGCGGCTCCTTTTGAACTTTTCAAGTAATAAACTGAAATATTTATTAACATAATAAATTTGTAATGTGACCGATATCATTAATTTTTTTCCTTTTGGAACTCTTGTATATTCAATTTAAAAAAAAATTACCTTTTAGTTTATTAATTTATAACTAAATAGCATATAAATTTTATTTTATTGCAATACATTTTAATGAATTGAAATTATATTTTTAATTTTATTATGAAATCAAAAAAGAAATTACCGACAAAGAGGTTCACCAAACAAATGGTAATTTCCTTTCAACTTCTGGCAGAACATTTTATGCAAGTGGGAATGTATGATTAAAACCAAATCTAGAATGAATGCCATATATATGCATTTAGCAAATAAGTGTAAATTTACAAATGGAATGATTTCCCATAACAACACTTTACAAATGTACATGCATATATAGTAAGGCTTTCTTGTCATTTGCAACCTTTTTACTATAACATATATACATTTATCTTTTGGATAATTTTAGTGATAATGGTTTTAGATTTTGGTGAGAGATGGTACTGACAGTAATATTGGTTTTTGCATTGTCGGTAAGAGAGAAAAATGAAGATGCTGACGTGTAAAAATTATTAATATAAATAAAGTCACGTGTCATTTATGTGACATTTCATTTATCGAAATTCTATTAATTCGGCCAAAATAATTTTATTGTTATACAAATAATACTTTAGATATTTTTTTTAAGTTATAAATTGAATTTTAGAAATGATAACGTGACAAGAACTATAATTCAGTATCAACGGGTGAAAATAAGCCGAAAAGAAGATTTAACACAATGTGCATTTGGCAAATGCAGCATTAAAAATGGTGATTTGCTATTATAAAACGTTATAAACATTAAATCTAATGCATCAAAACTTTCTAGTTAGGGAACAGTATTAATATAAGCAAAAGACACACATAATTTTCCTTAGTAAATAAGGAAGTTCATATCATCTATACATAATGAGCTTTTCCAAAACCAAGATAGCATTATTCTTACTCATTTTGGCTTCATTATTAGCAAAAATTCCCTCTTCCGCCTCTCAAAATTCACTCTTCCGCCTCTCAAAATTCACTCAATGTCTTCAAAACAGAATTTCATGTGTACATACTCAACAAATTGGGCAACAACAAGATGTTACTTGTACATTGTAAGTCTAAAGATGATGATCTTGGTGTCCATAATATTATAATTGGGTCTGAATTTTCTTGGAAGTTTAATATAAATCTCTTTTGGACAACACTTTACTGGTGTTATTTGGCGCCAGACAATCACTCTCATGTTAGTCTCAGAGTATTTTATGACAGTCATTTTATTCTTCATAGATGTAAAATTGTGAAAAAAAATTTTTGGGGTTATATTGTTAATTGCGTTTGGATTGCTAGAGATAATGGTGTCTATATGAAGAATATTCCTGCAAATACTGATGATTTTGTTCGTGCTTGGGAACGGGGAAGGATAATTGATTAGAATATGATTATTGAATTATTGCAAATTACTCCTGATCAAATAAATAATGTAGTCTATATGAATTTAAAGTACTCTTGTGGTTCCAGAGGATCCAGCTACAGGAAAATCATTAGGTATGAATACAATAAAGTTTTTTATTTGTTATATTTCTTTAATCATTATATATATATTTCCAGAGGATCCAGCTTACAGAAAATCATTAGGTATGAATACAATAAAGTTTTTATTTTGTTATATTTCTTTAATCAATTATATAATATATATATATACTATATTATTATATATTATTTTAGGTCAAATTAAATCTAGAATCATTCAGAAAAAAAAAAAAAAGATAAAAGTGAAGTATATGGAAATTAAAAAAAAAAAAAAAAGATAAAAGTGAGTAATATGGAATTACTTGGGTTTAGGCATTGGTCAACCAATGGTAAAACCAAAATATTTGAATGGTTTAGCTAACATCACCCTTCTATTGCCCTTTTATGTATTCGGTGAATGTAGGATTCTTAACATTTTGTTATCTCTAAACTCTGACGTGGTTGATCTATGATCAATTGTAGGTGTTAATGCATGTATTTGTCGGTGTTTTAAAAATCAGACTGGGTTGACTTTAAAAATCAATAATATTATTTTTTTTTAAAATCAGATAAAAAAAATAAAACATAACTAAATTAATACTAAATAAAAAATTAATTAATTACCATAAAATATAATATTATTTTCATATTTAACTTTAAAGTTGGGCAATTTAGTTGTTTTGATTAACAAATTATGACTTTGGACTTAGAAATAATGATGCCTGAAAAACTGAAAAAATTAATAGGCCAAATTTTTAAGAGGCCCATATTTAATAAAAAAAAAATCTCCGAATTTGAATGTAACCATACTAATTATCGGTGCGATTCATCGGTGTTTACCCTATTTTTTATCCGGTTTATATCGATTTTGAAGCTGCCAATTTTATTATCTAAACCGGTTCGAATCATAGTACAATTATCCATTATACCGGTCAAACTGGCCATATTGTAGATGACTGCTCAACTTTTTGAAATTTGGACTTTAGGATGTTGTGAGCTATCAAAAGGGTATCGTTTGTTTTTGGAGTTTATTTCAGTCTAAAAGCTCGTTGTATTGCACTATTCAAGTTGCATCAGCTTTGTTTGAAAACTTTGGAAGCTGCCTTTCAATGGCCTTAATTCTATTGGGTCTATGGAAGCTGGTTATTGATAATTTGCAGGGAAAGTTATGTCTGTTTATCTTACTATGGTAAGATTACCTTAATTAAGGCCTTATTTATATATCGTCTAATCCCAAGAAGCAAATCCTAATTAATAAAGTTGTTTTGCATATTTGTGTTTCTGTATCGTCTTAGCTAAATTTGTGAATCTCCCTCTTCCCCAAAACAAGAAATGCATTAAACAAATGGTAATTTCCTATAAAAAGTATGATTAGAAGCAAAGCTAAATGCCATTTGCAGTTGGCAAAGGGTGCATTAGGAATGGAGATTTTCTATTATAACATATCACAAACAGTAAATGTATAGGATAAATATAAGCAAATCTTTGACTATAAATATAAGCCAAACACATATAAGTTTAGTAAGTAGGAAAAAAGAAAAAAAGAAAAGAAAAAACATTCGTATCATCTAATACAAAATGAGCTTTCCCAAAATCAACATAGCTTTGTTCTTTCTCATTTTGGCTTCAGTATTAGCGACAATTCCCTCTTCAGACTCTCAAGGTTTACCCAAACCATTATCTAGTGAATTCAGGCCGGATTTCCAGGTGCATGTTGTCAACAATTTGGGCAGAAACAAGATATTACTTGTACATTGCAAGTCTAAAGATAATGATCTTGGTATCCATAATCTTACAGTTGGGTCTGAATTTTCTTGGAGGTTTGGTACAAATATTTTCTGGACAACACTTTTTTGGTGTTATATGGCCCCAGACAATAACTCTCATGCTAGTCTTGCAGTATTTGATCACAAAACTTCTCTTTTGCGTAGGTGTAAAACTGGTCCAACTCTTCCTCCTGGGAGTTATGTTTCTGAATGCATTTGGGTTGCTAAAGATAATGGGGTTTATATGAAGGATCTTATGGCAAACAGAGATGACTTTATTAGTGGTTGGCAGCAAGGAAGGGTAATTGATTAAGAAAAATTAGAATACTATTGATTATTGAAAAAAGAATTGTCGTCAAATAAGTAATGTAGTCTATCTGAATTTGCAATAAAGTGTTTAATGAAAATAAAAGTCTTCCAAATATTGTTACCGCTTTCTTAGTGAAATACGCTTGTTTCAATAATTATTTTCATTGATTTGGTCTACGAGTAAATTTATAGATCTGGTCTAGACAAATCAATACTAATGGAATGGAAGGAGTATCTAGAAGACTAATTCTTATATTACAATGGAAGGATTACCTCATCAAGGCCTTATTTATATATATGGTCTAACCCAAAGAAGCAAATCCTAATTAATAAAGTGCAGTGCATATTTGGGTTTTCCTTCTCTCTTACATAAACTTGTGAATCCTCTCCTCCTCAAAAGCAAAATTGTATTAAACAAATGGTAACATTTGTTTAATATGTATAAAGTTTGGCCTAATGCATAATTCTGCCCTTGAAGTTTAGGCGATTTGCCTCGTGACAATTTTAAATTTTCAAAAAACCTATCATGATCTTATATTCTCACGTTCAGTAATAACTATGCTCCTCAATTTATGAAGGATTTGTTCTTGGGCCATATCACTAATCTCAATTTATGAAGAATATTGAGGATGGTACAAATGGAATCTTTTAAAAGGAGTATATTTTATGTATAGATACTCAGTCAAGTATTAGTAATAATAATTAGGAATAAGACTCAATTTGCCTCCTGAATTTGGACACGACATACAATTTATTGATTATTCTATCTGATTATCTTACAATGGTAAGATTACCTTAATTAAGGCCTTATGTATATGGTCTAATCCCAATAAGCAAATCCTAATTAATAAAGTTTTTGTGTTTTCCTGTCCTCTTATCTAAATTTCTGAATCCCAATGGTAATTTCCCATAAAGTAAAGCTAAAATGGCATATGCATTCGGCAAATTAAGGGTAGGTGCATTTCAAAAAGTGCTTTAAACTAATGGTAGTTACCCCTTAAAAAAAAGTATATTTCTCATTAAAAGTATGACTAGAAAATAAAAGGATAAGACAGTAATTTTATTTTTTTTTAAAAAATCCTTTTTTGATGGGTTTGGTGTATGGGAGGTGTAGACAAGAAACTTCCTTAGCGCAATTGACACAAGTGGCAATATGATTAGAAGCATTTGGCAAAGGTTTCACTGGACCTGGCGATTTTCTATTATAACAAGTTACAAACAATAAATTTATAATATCCCACATAAAGCTTTGACTATAAATATAAGCAAAAGAAAAATAATTTTTAGTTAGTATGAAAAAAATATAAGAAAAGAAAAATATTCATATCATCTAATACAAAATGAGCTTTCCCATAATCAAAACAGCATTGTTCTTACTCATTTTGGCTTCAATATTAGCAACAAATCCCTCTTCAGCCTCTCAAGATTTACCCAAACCATTATCTAGTGCCTTCAAGACAGAATTTCATTTGCATATTGTCAACGGATTGAGCAAAAACAAGATATTACTTGTACATTGCAAGTCTAAAGATGATGATCTTGGTATCCATAATATTACAGTTGGGTCTGAATTTTCTTGGAAGTTTACTATAAATTTCTTCTGGACAACACTTTATTGGTGTTATTTGGCCCCAGATGATCACTCTCATGTTAGTCTCAAAGTATTTTATAACAATGGTCGTCTTTTGCGTAGATGTAAAACTGTTAAAAATCGTCTTTGGGGTTACGTTGCTGATTGCATTTGGATTGCTAAAGATAATGGGGTTTATATGAAGAATATTGATGCAAACACTGATGATTTTGTTTCTGCTTGGGAACGAGGAAGGCTAATTAATTGATTAAGAATTGCAAAACGAATAGTCGTCAGATAAGTAATGTAGTCTTTTTGAATTTGCAATAAAGTGTTTTATGAAAATATTTTTCTTATTCTTAAGTTAATTTCTTATTATTTCCGACAATATTTTCCACATCTTTTCTTTAAAATATATTTTTCTCTATTTATATTATTTATTTCCTAAACAATTTTACGACAGTGTCTTCCAATGATATATCTTTCTGGGTGGCTGTCGGTATTTTCGTTAGGATTTATTCGGCAAAATTAGATGTGTTGTTAGTTGTTAGTTATTTTAGTAGCGTTTAGCTGTTAGCTGGTTGAGTAGCTTTTCATGAAAAGCTAAAAGTTAAATGTTATATAAGTTAACTTTTCATAAAACGCTACTATAATCTCTAAAAACTAATCGAAACGCTATATTATCAAATGATTTTTTAAGTCAAATTCTAAAAGTTATTCAAAAAGTTATTGCCGAACACCGTGATTGTATAATAAAAATGCTTGTATTTTCTTATTTAGTCTCCATAATGTTCTCACTCTTGTACTGTAACACTGTACTCATACATTAACAAGAACATGTACTTAATTCTCAATCTTAACATAATCATAGACAACACTTCATTGGTGTATTCTTGAACACTGTTTATATTTTGGATAGAATCGATGAAATTGTTCGTGGTTGGGGATGAGGTTTAGAAAATTTGTAATATATTAATATGATATTTTAATTAATATTTATTTGTATGATATAGTCTTTTTCTTCTTCAATTTTTTTTTCTTTTTTCCAGTTCTTTTTAGTAGTTTGCATAATCACGGGCCTCTAGTGGGCTTTGTTCTTGGGCCACATCAGTGACCTCAATTTATAAAGAATACTGTGGATCATACAAATAGAAGCTTTAAAAAGGAGTATATTCTACGAATCCAGGCCCATTTAAGTATTAGTAATAGTAATTAATGCCTCATAATTTTAATTAAAAAGAAAGGAAATGCTAAGTAAGGACGGTCTGGTCTATTGCAGTATGAAAATTTTTTTAAATCAAACCAGAAATTACAGTCTAAATATTTTTTAATTTTTAAACCAAACTATTTAATCAATGAAATCAGACGATAATAAAGCTGTTTGGTGTCATTTAATTGGTGATATGGTATCATTAAAAATAATGTAATATCATTGGAAAGTAATTCGAAATTACAAGTCAGAAAAATAGATGACTTATCTACCCTGGGCCCATTCATATACCAAATTAATAAAAAAAATAATTAATAATTTTTTTAAGAAAACATACCAAACTTATATTAAGGAGAAAATATATAAAATAAGAAGGGACATGACCCCACTGTTTAAAGACATTCGTAGAATATATATATTTTGATGAACTAGTGAAAAACACAATTAGTATATTATATTTAAATTTATCCAAATAAATATGCAAAAGATATAAAATGTGGACTATTGAGGTGAGGAACCCTTTCTGATAGAAATTTAATCTGAGAATGAGCAGAGTGGAGAGATAGAGATGGTAAGATGAAAGAGGGTAAAATGTTGGTTTTTATCTGTAATTTTTTTTTGTTGTATTAAAATTATTTAGATGTACATAACAAAGTAGCTAGAGCTTCCCGCAAGTGAAGCAATCTTTTGCTTTTAAGCAATCAAGGTCAAACATTTGGATTCTACCTCCGACGATAGCTGACAGGGTAAGAAGGAACGAAAGTGGAGGATGGCGCAAGTCTGTGGAGAGAGAAAGCAAAAGAGAAGAAAATTGGCACATAAAAAGAATTAGATAGATTCAGTGCCTTAAAATATACCGGCGTCGGTACTGTTTAAACCTTAATCGGAAAATAACCATCTACAAATAATCCCCACTTGCCGCTTCAAATCCGTTGGTAATCTACAAAATTCCATCAGAAATTAGTAACCACTAATATCATTTTCCATCGATAAATCCATTACTAATGGAAAAAAGTGTAGTGCACCACAATCTTCTTGTCCCGCCATAATCCATCGGGGAACCCATCGGTATTTCTTGCCGTTCATCGGTACTGCATCAGTGTTTACCTACGCAGCTTTTCCATCAGTAAAATGCAGATTTTTTTATAGTATGCAATGTTATTAAAAACCCTTAAAATATCATTTAATTTGTTTCCAACTTTATATCATATAAATAATCATTCGATAAATATAAAAATAATATGAATACCATTTTAAAGCAAGCTGTATTAAAAACCCCAAAGGGTATTTTAATTTCTTAATTATGAATCTCCTATGTGTATATTTGTAAAACTTTTGCCTGTGATATCACTTAATAAAAAAAAAAGATATCATTGGACTTAAACTATATACATAAAATATTAAAATAGATAAATAATTAGACATAACAATTATTATAATTACTTACAAATTTACCAACTGATGATTGGATAAGTGAAAGTGAATTACATCCTTAGACAAACATTTGGTGCAAGTCAGAAGTTAGAAACTTAGAATCATCTCTTGCAATTCTCGTTGTGGGGAGCGTAGATTAGTCTGATCTGCAATATCAAATAAATATTTGAAAAAGTTGATCAATCTCCTAACAGTTAAGTACAAAATATTAATTAATTGACTGAGGATCAGCCAACAACATCACATCTATGACATGCTATTTTCAATATGATTAATTGATTTCATACATTTGCATCTTTATATATATAAACCAAGACGTCTACTCTCCTTTTCTCTCGTCCAAATACTCATACTAATTTTTTTCTTTGCTTATTCTAACACACATATCTATAGTCTCCTAAGCCCTAACGCATTCCATTTGAAGATGGCAAATTCCAATTTGTTCATGTTTGCAATTTTCATTACTTTATCATTTTCAAACATGGAAGCTAGACTAGCTGCTCGCAATCTTCTGCAAATCCCATCTTTGCTAAGCCAACATTGCCACAATTGCCCACAATTCCAACTCTGCCATAACCCACATTGCCAATTTTGCCAAATAACCAACCTTCATTGCCAAAACCTAAACTGCCTCTTCTGAGCTTGCCCACCTTGCCTACTTTGCCTCCATTGCCAACCATGCCTTATTTTTCTTTTAATTGTATCTTAAATAGATCTCAACAAATTAAACTTGAATATAACTATATTTCGCGCCGTGATAATACTTTCATATAACTATATTTCGCGCCATGATAATACTTTCGCGCATTATATATAAGATTGTGCGAGTCATATTAAATAATTATTACAAATGCGTTAAAGTTGATTTATGATATATATGGTCAATATTAAAATTTAAATCAATATCTAATATGATCAACATCAAGAAGTTGATTCAATTCAATTTAATAAATTGCTAACAAGATTAATCACAAGCAATTTCCATCCAAGAAATTTTATTTTCATTATTCGTATTTAGTCATGAAAATTAGGCAATAGTTTTGTTATAACCAAAAAAGGGCAAAATATATTCTGGCAATACTAGGTGTTTATGTACCAAATATATGAATTGGTTTACTGTTGTTTGGCTATCGCCACTTACAGATCCAGTGACCCTCACTGTATTTAGTCCCGATGAATTGGCGAAATGTGTAACCCAACAAGATTAGCATTATCCTTCTATTACTAATCATGTTCATACCAAAAATGCTATTCCTGGACAGATTCTGTAACCTCCAAAACTAGTAATATAGTAAATTCAAGGAAGATGCCAAGAATTTCTCACCAAAAACACATATTTCGACATCTGTATATAAAGTGCTAATACATTTCTTCTTTATTCATAACATTGGAAGAAAACATAAACATATTTTCTTTCTTCATAACCTTTGAAGAAAATATAAACATATTTTCACCCTAGCCATGTCGAGAAAGAGTAGGGGCCGGCAAAAGTTGGAGATGGTGAAAATATCGAAGGAGAGCAATCTTTTGGTAACATTTTCAAAAAGAAGGTATGGTATTTTCAAGAAAGCTAGTGAACTTTCTACTCTCTGTGGTGCTGAAGTTACTGTTATAGTCTTCTCGCCCGGAAAGAAAGTTTTCTCTTTTGGCCAACCTTCTGTTGAAGCAGTTGTCAACCGTTTTCTCTCCGGAACCTCTCCCCCGATTTCTGGTGCTATGCAACTTATTGAAGCACACCGCAATGCTAGAGTCCGTGAGCTTAATATGCAGCTCACTCAGGTATTGAAATGAAACTCACTCTCATTGGCTTTTATTCGAATTTATTGGAACTTACTATCTTAAAACCCTAGGGAGAATTTAACTTTCGGGTACAATAAGAATATGTAAATCAAATCCATGAGATTTTTTAATTTATATAAATGAAATTAAGTTTTCATGTCTATGAAATTTGATTGTTTTGATAAGATGAAATTAAATTTTTGGTACCATTCAGTTTGGTTAGTAATTTGACGGAGGAAAAAATAGTTTTTGATCATCTACTTCAAAAAGAAAAGAATTTTAATTAACATATGTTAGTGTATATAGTATTTTTATCATAAACATGTAATTATAATTGTTTGATTATTTCATTTATAATTGAATGATTTCGAATTAAAAATATTTATATTCGATCCCGTTATATTATTTAGAAACTTTTAAAATTTTAGAAGTTTAGTTGAACTGAACGATGAACCGTTCGAATAATTAATTATATATATTTTTGTTTTTTTCACGTTTTTTAATCCAACTATTGTACGTAAAAATTAAATGATGTAACAGATTCTAAACCAATTGGAAATGGAGAAGAAGAGAGGGGAAGAGCTAGATCAAATGAAGAGAGTTAGACAGGCTCAGTGCTGGTGGGAGTCTCCTATAGAGGATCTTGACTTTGAAAGGCTTCAGCAACTTAAGGCTTCATTGGAGATTTTAAGGCACACTGTTACAAAGCAAGCTGAGCAGCTTCTTATCCAAACTACAAATACTCCTCAACAATTTTATGTGCCGAGTACAAATACTCCTCAACAATTTTATGCAACGAGTTCAAACACTCCTCAACAATTTTATGCACCAAGCACCAGCAATACTGCACTTCTTCCTAATTTTGATCCAGAAAATAATGGTTTTGAATTCAACACAAATATGAATGCTTATCAATACCCAAATCTTGGATTTGGATCAAGTGGGTTGTTTTAGTTACATTTACAGATTATGTTACTTCTTTTTTTTTTTTTTTTTTTTTTTTTTTTTTTTTTTTTGGTTTTGAATTCAACACAATTATGAATCTTATTTCAATACCCAAATCTGGGAATTTGGAATCAAGTGGGTTGTTTTAGTTACATTTACAGATTATGTTACTTCTTTTTTTTGTTTTTTTTTTTTGTTTTTTTTTTGTTGTTGTTTTTTTTTTTTTTTTTTTTTTTTTTTTTTTTTTTTTTGTTGTTGTTGTTGTTGTAATTTGTAGGTGTTACCCACAGTCTAGAAAGTACTTGTTATTGAATTTAGGGTTACATGTATTTGGCTGATTTGTGCATTTGTGCCATTGTGTGAAAGATCTGTTAATAAGATTGTAACATTGAACCAAAATCTTGATTAATTAGGTAATTACAGTTTGCCTGGATCTCCTCGCTAAACGACAGTAATTACATGACAATTTTAAATTTTAAATTAAATATCAGATAGTATAACTTTTATATGTTACTAATCACTTTGTTTAAATTTATAGGTAAAGACATTTTTGTATAAATATCCTTCGCGTTCCTTTCAGTTAAATTTGATAGTTTTTGATTTACTTTTGTTCCATTTAAATGATACTTTAAAAAATCAATATAACATTAATTATTTTATTCCAACTTTCATTGTTCTCTAGATATTTGTATTAAACTTTTTTTTTAAATTAAATAAACATTAATTAAAGGATAATTAGTCTACTACCCTTATATTTTTCTAGAATAGATAATTTAACATATTGAATTAATAAGATATTTCAGTTTTAATTTATTAAACAACTGAAATTTGATTATTAATCATAGTTCAATTGATGTGTATGATAATGAATAATGCAATTTTTAAATTCTTTCTAGTCATCAGTAATTTTGTTTCAATTGATTTTTAACTATCTTCTATACAATAAATAAATATAAAATTCTGCAAAGAAGTAAATAAATAAAAAATTTAGAGTCAATTAACATCTTCAAAGTATTAAAATAATAAATAAAATGCAAAACTTACCATGTATTTCTTTCTCAACCTTATTTACGATTATAGTTTTTAATTCCTCAATCTTCATCTCAAAATAAAAATAAACAGTAAAGTTTGTTGTAATTCACAAACATTTAACTTATATAATAAAAAAAAACAGATAATTATAATAAGTAAAACATTATAAAAAAAATATTCCAACCTACAAATTTAAACTGCATAAACTGGCAACATGAAAAAGCTACACTATCTGATATCTTATTAAAATTATTAAATTGTCATATATTTTGCTATTCTAAACATTTTTAAAATTGATAAAAAATTTTAATTTATATTTTGTTACTTTTATTTTATTTTCTATTACTAATTTACCGTTAAAAACCCTAACTGCGAAACAAGAAAAAAGATAAAGATAAAGAAAGGAAAGAAAAGGGCAATAAGGTTATTGACTAAACATTCTACATCTTAAATTCTTGACCCCTTCAAAATTATTATCAACCTTGCTAGCTATAATATGTTATATATTAATTTCTGAAATAAATTATTAATGCAATTTGACCTATGTTTTCAAAATAAGATATTTTAACTATTAATTTATTAAATAATTAATATTTGATTATTAATTATAGTTTAATTTGAGTTGTATGACAATAAATAATAAAAGTTTTCAATCTTTTTTAATCACCCATATTTTATTCTTAATTTGTATAAAAAAGAACTCTTAATTGCCTATCGAGATATAAATCCATGCCACATTGACCTGGACAGGAAGCCGTATGAACTCGATGGCTGAATTAAAGTATTTGACAGGGTGAAATATTTGCAAACATGCTGATGCTTAAGTTAATAATAAATAAAGAGCTTGGCAAAATAATGAAGGATTGATAATGTGCATTTGAATTGGGGGTTTGTGATCCTTTATATGAGGTTGGAAGACACCTTGTTGGAATTATTTTTAGAATGTAGTGTTATTTTCAAAGTTATAATCATAGTATATGCAATCATGATCCATTTTGTTTTTTATTTCTAGAGTTAGTCTGTGTCAAGTAGGCATGGCCACCAGTTCGATTCTAACCGGAATCGAACCGTACTGTAGACGAACTGAAACCGGACCGAAGTCGGCGGTTCAAAATTTTGAACCGGAACCAGCGGTTCAAGGACCGGTTAAGATTCATGTGAATGTTAAAAAATGAACCTGAACCGGCCCGGAACCAGCTGTTAACCGGCGTTTTCGGTCCGGTTCGAACCGAATTCACAAACAAAATTATTTGTTGCAATAATACTTAATTTATAAAAAGTAGTGAAAAAAAAACATCATCATTTTGGTTCCGGCCCGTAACCAGCTGTTAACCGGCGTTTTTCGGTCCGGTTCGAACCGAATTCCACAAAACAAAATTATTTTGTTGGCAATAATACTTATTTATAAAAAGTAGTGCAAAAAAAAACATCATCATTTGCGTTTTAAAAAAAGGAGAAGCATCATCATTTCAACTTTTTTTTTTTTAAAAGCTCATCCCATTTTCAACTAGCCGTTCTTCGAACTTTTTTTACAAATACTTATTTTTTTCTTTTTTACAAATGAACGTATACAATTAACAATTTACACAAGCTTCCAAAGTTCAACACGGCTTTATTAATTATTTTACTTATAATTAATAATTAATTAATTAATATTATAATTTACTAAATTATTTCCAAAAATATAATTGTTTTTTTTTCTATTATTAAGGAACAATTGAACATACATATTAAGCCACCAGAATCTTTTGAGTTTTAGGTGATGATGCGAAATGAAGACCCAATAATAATTTTAATATCTTCTGGGATGGGAAAAAGCATTGCAAAATCGCTTTCCCAGTCTTAACGTTACCAATTGCCATAAAGATATATCTTTGCTTTCCAATTTCTTTACTGTTGCAGTGGAAACAAGCTTTTAGTGTGGGTGGACAAATTTTTAGATCCAACACGGTCAAAGGATTATCGCCAAAATAATGTGGGAAATGCAGAGTGTGTTGACTGACTTGCGACTAGAGCGGCCGTTGGAGAATTCAAGACCAGCAAAATTTCAAGCAACGATGATTGATTCCGACTCATTAACGGGGACTAGTGGCACCGATGGACTAAAATTACATTGTAATAATTGGGAGGTTATTTTCCAATGTTAAGTAAAAAAAAAAACTTACGGGGGCTTTGATTTTCTCTAATTTTCAAGAGGATACGTTAGCGCGGACATTAAATTTAAAAATTTTCAATCTTAATTTTAATATTTAAGCCCAAAATAAAAAAAATTATAATTTTCTATATTAGTGACGTTAGCAAAATTTGTTAAATTTAATGTAATAATAGTTCTAAATTTAATAGAAGTTTCCTTGTTTTTTAAAATTTATATAATAATTTAATTTAGTTAATAAAATTTAAACATTTTTTAAAAATTATTATTTATTCATGAATTCGAAATCAAAAATTTTATTATTTTTTTAAAAATTTGCGATAATGCCCGGAACCAAAAATCGGAACCGTAATTTGAACCAGTCGGTTCGCCGGAACCGTGCTGAACCGTCATGTCAGAACCGGAACCAGACCGCGAACCCGAGCGTTTCAAAAGGGCCTGTTTCCGGTTCAAACATTTTTAAACATCTCGAACCAGTGGTTCAATGAACCGAAACTGGCGGTTCATTGCAACGGCCATGCCTAGTGTCAAGTTTCATGAATTAATGCACTTGACATTGTTTTTAGATACGAACAGATGAAACAATTGAATGATATCTTTTTTGGATTCGATGATTTACATGATTAGGTAACATAATGTCTCTCAACTAAGTAACGAATCTTTTGTTTTTGAATCTTTGCAGATATTTTGCGAATGGATACAAGTTTTCCAGGTTAAACTGAGGGCATTACATAATTCAAGAAGAGATATAGCTTATCGTCTTTTTTAGGGTTTTTAAAAGTTTCTAAACTGCCACTAGAAAAATGAGTATAAATTCTTGCACAGTTGAAGTGGGAGTTGCCTTTTTGATTTGATTAAAACGACTTCTTCTAAAAAGTAATCTTTTTTGTTGATTTTCCTAGTTTGAAGGTAACTTTTTTTCTTAGAGCTTTTCTATTCTACTGTTTTATCTTTTAAGTCCTTCCTTTTTCATCATTTTAAGTTATGACTCATAAGCTCAAGGAATGATTTCTTACATTTAGGAGATACTCCCTTAGAATTTAATGGACATGTTGTTTAAATGTTGTTCGTTTCTTTCTTTCCGTAGCCTAAATTGATGAGAAAAAAAAGAAAAATCCTCATCCCCAGTCTAGTGATGAAAACCCTTACTACCTATTGAAATGCAGGCGGATAATTTGAAAAGGGTATAAGGGGGAAAAAAATTCCAAGCTTGACAAAAAGAACTCGTTTGATGTGTAGGAAGTACTAGATCATATTGACACTATTTTCTTAGTATTGAAATCTCTCATTCCTTGAATTGAGGCTTAAGAATAGATAAGAAGAAGTCATACAGCAGTATTAAATTCTTATCAAAGAAACAAAAGTTGTATTGTTGTCCTCTTGGAATGATGTAAAGTTCAGAAAAAATAATTGCTAAGAAGAAAAGCTTGATGAGTTTAGAAAAGGTTAAACCTTAGAAAAATTTCTCAATTTTTGCAACATATTGCCGAAAGAGATCATCCAAATTTGATCTTTGATATTTTTTAGGCACTTTAATTTTACCAAACTTTACAAACGTGTTGCAAAACTTTCCTGTTTTCCTCTCCTTTTTTTTTATTAGCACTTTAATAATTTTTATATAGAGTATTGAATAATAAAGTATGAGCAATTATACTGTGCGATTGAGATATATTTTATTTTATTGTATTTATTATTCCAACTCATCATGATTGCAAAAACAACACCGTGTTTATTCTAAAGAGTAATCTCAGGAGCCCCATCTAGTATAGGAAATTTAATTAGTTTATATTTCTAGAATCATTAATTTTACGCATTGTTTTTTTTTTAATTGTAAC